TAGAGTTACCCTAAAACACATAGCTTTCTAGAATTTCGAACACCTGATGAAAAACACAAAAATTCCCGCAGAAAGGGAGAAGAATTGGATGGGAACTTGGTCGAGTCCCCAGACTCTCCTATGTCCAAAATGGTAGGCCAGTTGATAATATATAGATTTAGCCAGGGCTAAAAGCGAAGCTCCCGTTGATAAATTTATTATTTAAATCAAACAATAAACTTGTAATTCACAAACCGGTTAACTTTAGTGCAGATCCATATGACTTTTGAGGGAAAAGCTTAGTCATTTTAGAGAATTCAAAGAATAATTTGGAAACAGTCCAAGAATGAAACAAACCTTACATCGAGTTGATAGTCTTCTATGTACACCCAAACAATGGCAATCATGCACCTTTAATCACAGTACATTAGGCTTGGAAGACAAATTCTTGCCAAGCAAAATAACCCTGAGTCAGCTTTACTTTATAAGGCTATTTGGCCCAGTCCCGAAATATAATTTTATGTTATACAGGCCGGTTATAAGACACAATAGTCCTCCTCGGTCGCAGCCAATTTACACCCGTTCCTCTGTCTAAAAGGGATACCAAAAAAAAGCAGGCCGGATTTTTTGTGTTCGACAAGTATATTTTACAATATATTGCCAACAAATCTGATGGCGTGTAAAGCAGCCTTTTATACATCACACCCGCGGTAAACGGTACTATCAGGCGCTGTTTGTTTATCGTACAGACTTGGGACAAAATTTGTTATTTTTGCCCTATTTAAACCTACAATTCAGTAGTTTTTCACAATTTAACAAGAAAAATTGCATTTATTTAATATTCAAGACGATCGAAGCACGCGTTATCCCGTGCGCAACAAATTATAGAATTGAAAACATTTAGTAAAACGTTTTTATGAAGAGAATTCAACAATCTCGGGACTGTTCAGTCAGATCAACTATAGGTAGCCCAAGCTCGAAATATGAGCATCGGCGAACATCGGCATTGTTGCGTAACATTCGAAATATAAGGATTTGTATGGGAAAAAAACCTATCGTTTCTGTAACCTACCCTCTGTAACCTCTCTTGCTCCCGTTGACATCAATACCCGAGAAAGAAAACAACGGGAGCAAGAGACTGTCTCCCACCCCGAGTTTGAGTAATTTGAGTCTCAGGCTGTGTCGTCATCTTTTAACGGTAACGCCGAGTTCAAGCCAAGGTTCTGTCGATGGCTTCAGACGGGAAAGGTTGCAGAGATTTGCGACCTTTGATTCGATCTCGGTGCAAAGGCGTCTTGAAGCAAGATAACGAATGGAAAGGAGAACTATCGTGTGTTACCTAGGCGGAACTTGGAGGCGATTAGAGCAGTTGGAGCGAATTTACGGTCGTTTTCCTTCGGTGGATCATTCGGGCCGCTTCGCTGGAGCGCCCAACCTTGGTAAACCTTTATATAGAGAGAAAACCGTTAACATAAAAACCCATAAAACGGCCATAAATCGGCCCGTGGACCACACAGGAGAGACGTAACACACATTTTAAGTAAAGTAAGATGTTTTTTTAATTGAAATCCTTTCATTTTCGTAGGTTACAGAAACAATAAGTTTTTTCCCCACACAAATCCTTGTATTTCGAATGTTACACAACAATGCCTATGTTCGCCAATGCTCATATTTCGAGCTTGGGCTACCTGTGGATCAACCTGTTCCTATGTAGTATGCAGGGTAATACTTTTAGCAAAAACTTTCCAAAAAAGCCTAATATGGACATTTAACCAGGGCTAAAAGCGAAGCTCTCGATAATATTTATAGTTTGTTCAAACAAAGTATAAAATCGTGTAATGCTAAGCGGCGAAGGCAACGCCGGAGTACGGTGAAAAACAACAAAAAGTCTAATTAGCAAAAACGCAACTTTGCACATGCAGCACACTTTTTTGTACATTTCTTTGCCGTTGTTTTGCACGACTACAACGTGAAACGTCCAGGAACTTCTTACACGTAACACGTTTTTTGGTTTTTCGAACGTGTCTCGTTCGCTTTTTTTTCACTGCCGCTCATTTTCACCTTGCATTAGTGGCCGCTAGCATTTCTCCTTTTGTCACCGCCGCTACAAAACTTTCATGTTGTTCTTCCAACAAAAAAAGATGTCTCCTTTGTTTTTTTATCTCTCGCTCTAGATCTCTGTCGCCCTTTTTCTCGTTGAGGTTCGCTGGCCTGCCGCATACTTTCCGTTTTTCTCCGTCTTTCTCTTGCTCTATATTCCAAATTTGTGGACATGGCAATTAATCTAACCTTAACACTTTAGACAACACGGATACAGAAACAATTTCCGCTTTCCGTTTTCATCTTTATTGACTCTTAAGTTGTCTCTGCTTTACAAGACATGGTGGCTATGCTATTTCTCGCCAAAATAACCTCGAGTTACATTTTGGGTTGCCATACCTGTTAATTGAGTTTTTTACATTTGTATGCCTGTGGTTTGGACGGACGGTCGGTCGCTCGGTCGGGCAGTGTACCGTCACGTGATTACCAAATTTTCTAGGATGGGTAGATTTACTTAGCTATGGGGCTCAGCTATGATAATTTAATTTCAAAAATCACCCATACAACCAGCCGGTTCTGATTTTTGACAAGCGGAAAATGTTGCAGTGCGAGCTGTCGAATTTTGAATGAACAGTAATAGAGTTTTGCTTCAATATAACAAACAATTTATTATGTTTAGTTTTTTATGGTTTTATTATGTGTAATCATTAAAAGCGTTTGTATTGATTCGCGGGGTATTTTGAGTACTGGTGCAGGCGCTGTTCATCTACTAAAAACAAACGGCACAGCCATTAAAATTGCGAAAATGACTACTAACAATCAAGACAAGAAATATAATTCAGTAAAACATTTACAGAGACAACAATTTTCATTCACAAAGACAAGTACTAAGAGTGAAGTGTTTCTGAAACTCCCGAGTCATGTATAAAACCTTGCGGATTTAAGTTTAAAGCCCGCTTCCCGGTGTTTGCTATTTTTCAAGATGAACTTGAGGCAAGATTATCCCTCAAAGCTTTCTTTTTACAACCAAACTTATAACTAAATATTCTTCAGAATTTTTCTTTGTATTTGCGGTCAGAAAATGTCTAAACGCTTTTTTAAACTTCTTTAAGCTTATATAAAACATGATACTTGGTTAGATCGTTGTCTCAAATCTTACAAACGTGAATAGACCAGCCGCATAAACAAAGCTGGACTTCATGAAATTACCAGAAAAAAGGAACAAACAAAAATCAAATGCAATAATTACTCAGGCTTACTAGCTCAGATACAGCTCCTGTGAGCCATTAAGTAAGGCCAGAATTGCTTGAGACGTTTCAACCCTCTTACGCATCCGTCAAGGTGAGCTAGAGGCTCATTTTTAAAAACGATGCCATCCGAAATCGGATTTCCGATGACTTTGAAAAGCCTCGCATTTCTCAACCAAAAACCCAATAAACAAACCAGCGATTAATAACAACAGAATCTTGATAGCAGCTGTGCTTCATTTTGTACATCCAGTGGAAAAAAACTTCATAAGATGACACAAAACTCTGTCAGCTTCAGCGATCAGTAAACAAGTTTCCAGAAGTTTCACGTGTCAAATTTTGGCGAATCAGAGCTTGACCAACGCGTGACCATGGTGAGAAAAGCCAAAAGCAACTGCCTTCCCTGCCTGTAAAAAGTGGCTGAATTTTTGCGTCCGAGGTCAGTTTGAAATCAAAATTTTAATAGCGCAGCTCATAAACACAACTTATCTCCCGTGAATTTAAGAATAATTGAACTTGAGCCTGCGATCATTTGAAAACTAGTAACTTGTTAGCGGATAACCTCAAAAGACACGTAACACGATGGGTCGACACCTAAGCCCGCGATACAGTCATGTGATACTGGTCAGCGGATACCTTTTTTGACAGCTCTCAATTGACCATAATATGGATGTGCAATATCAGGCTGCAGGCTCCCACAAGGTAGATGAGCTGTGGTGCGGACGGACGCACAGTCGGATGGACGGTCGGGCGTACGGTCACGCGACTACCAAATTTTCTTAGCTATGGGCCTCGTTAGACGGAGATCAAACCACATGCAAATGTGGAATATTGTGTAGCTCGCGGGGGGTACACATATCACTAAACCCAGAGCATCGTCTATTTTTTTTTCTTTTTTACTTTTCGAGTTATCTTTTGCTGAATGAAATTACGTCAGCCATACTTATTTAAAACGACCAGTGATAAGGAGAGGAATGATAACGAATGTTTACATCGACATTGCGGCCCACGAAGACGTAAACTCCCTAGAAAGAGCTATTTGCGATTTTTTTTTGGAGGGGTGGGGGTAGGGGATTCCTATTTCACTGGCCGCCATATTGGAGGGGATACACATATCACTAACGATGTGTACGGGGATACACATATCACTGTGACAACGTGATATGTGATATCCTCGTACACATATCACTATTTCTGGCGAGTTTACTTCTTAGTGGGCTGCAATGCCATGTAAACACATATCTCGGGGAAACACATAATCGCTGTGACACTGCAACTAAAAAGCCACTGCAAAACTGCTCTTCCAAGTGCCGATTAACATGAGCCCGCGATTTTCACAGTGGTGTGAGGGAAAAATCACGGAAAACCAGCTACGGCCGCATCCCTCGTCAAATATTTCTAGTGTTTAGTTCATTGTTTAGTTTCGCACATTCTTTTCAGTTATCGCTATTCATATTCTGTTAGATTTCGCTGCATAATTTTCTTTGTCTTTAGATCATTTTGTAAGTTTCATCGTTTATTTTAGATTCATTTCGCTTTAGCGTTCGTAGCAACATCATCGCAGTTTTCATTCAGTTTTGTTAGCCATCGTACCTTTTTTCCGTTCAACTTTCAAGTCACACAACATTTGTAAGTATTTTCGCTTAGTTTGTTTCCTTTTCTTGGATTTTCGTCGTTTTATAGCTGTCATTTGTATTCCTTATTAGTATTTGTAATTTTGTTTTGCTTTCAGCAACCGTAATTGTAATTTGGTGTAACCATAGTAAAAGACGAATTGGAACCGTGAGACTATTCGCTATAGTATTTCGTTGTTACGTTATGGATCCAATCGAAGAACAAGATGGAACGAGAAGCAACAGTTTGGATTTTGCTAACATTGCCTTAGCAACTAATGTAACAAGGCGAAGGCAGCGCACCCAAAAGGGAAAGGCATTTATCGCTCATGTTAGATGCACGGACTGCCAGACTTTATTAGAAGCATCCAACTTCATATGAAGGAAATCGTTAGTTCGGCGACTGATGAAGAAAATGTGGACGTCTTCGAGATGAATTTAACTTCATTTCGTATTTCCGTGGAAGAGTTCAAGACGGGTTTCGCTGCTCTTTTAAATGATCTTGGGTCCGAGAAGGATTTGGACGTTGCGATCGACTGGTATATTAATCAGATTGGAAAGTTTAACGACTTTTTAGACAAACCTGTACGCTGGATTTCAACTGCGAAAGAGACAATCGAACATAGCTTGGAAACAAGATCTCAAGTTGGCTCGTTATATTCTACATCGCGTCGTTCAAAGGCATCCTCTAGATATTCTGGCAGATCGATTACCACTAGCAGAGCGAAAGAGAAATCCAAAGCCGCCGAGTTAATAGGCAGAGTTGGTATGTTGGAAAAAAGGAAAGAGTTGGAGTTGAGAGTCGAGAAGTCACTCTTTGAAGAGCAGTTGGCAGTTGCTCGCGTTCGAGAGGCCGTGTTCGCTGAAATTGATAGTGGTATCTGCGATGCGAATTTAACTGGTCGTCAAGAATTGCCTCCGAAGGATTCTTTTGTACAGGTATCTACTTCTACTGGGCAGATTCTTTTAATAAGTGCCGGAGCGCGATGTCAACCCCAATCTACCGGTCTATCCTCAACCATCCTCACAATTTACAAAGCATGGTAACCAAGCTTCCATTTACGCTTCAAGACCGATGGCGCCGAGAAGCAAATAAAAGGAGAGTGTAGGTGGAGTGATCGCCTCCTTCGCCGACCTCTTGAACTTCGTTGATGCAGAAGAGGGATATCGCGACCGACCCAGTCTTCTCTCGAGAAGCGCTCCGTCGTTTGGATGGTACCTCAAATCGACCTGATCGTTTCAGCAAAGACAGAGGTAAAAGCTTTGGCAAGTCTAAAACGTCTAGGAACCATAATGGTATTTCACATCACGCCTCCAGTCATGCGACAGATGTGTCCGCTGACCAACAGTCTGGTTCACGCAATCCCGGTAGCCTCTGTAAGTTCTGTAACAAGAATCATGATTTGGACGACTGTCAAGAATACTTGAGCAAATCCTTGTCACAAAGGAAGGATTTCCTATGAAGAAATCAATCTGCTTTGCCTGCTACAATCCTGGACATAGATCCAAAGGTTGTGCCCAGCGAAGGACCTGTAAGAGCTGTTCACGTCGACACCCAACGGGTCTAGATGATGATAGCTTCTCCCTCAATCAGGAGGCCTCCAAGCAGGTTAACTCCACTCCTCCGCAACGAAAGGAGAACGTTTCGAATGCTCACGCGGAGGTGGATGAAGCCCTCTGCAATGCCGTAGGTACCGAGGGTTCAGTAACCGCCGTTCCTGTAGTTCCTGCTAGCCTGAAATCTGCTGAGGTCCTTACTTACGCCATGCTTGATACCGGCAGTACCGGTTCATTCCTTCTTGACGACATCACGGCCACCTCTGGGGTGAAGGGCGTGAATACACAGCTTATGGTGAAGACTGTCATCACAAGCCTCAGCGTTCCGGAAGTTAAAAAATGCGTAGCGTCCTGGTTGCTATGTAGTGACTTTTATTAAAATAAGCCATTTGAGTACCTATCATCGTAACACTTTTGCAGTCAACTACCGCAGCGCTCGTAAAGTATACTTTAATGAAAATCGTGTTCAAACCCCTGTGGAGGAAGTCTGTTTATTTTTGAGTTGATAAATGCACTTCTGACTTTCACCAGGTTCAATTTCAAGAATTTTGTTAAGCAGGAAATCTACCTACGGTTCGCGGGAAACGGAACTCTATAGCGGCGCAAGACGAATGTTTTGAGAGTCGAGGATGTGCTTACAAACCATTTACTATATCTATGCAACGAAAGGAGAAACCACTGGCATGACAGCTCGTGCAATGGTAATTTTATCAATCAATGTTCGCTCCAGAACGCTGCGACAACCTCGTTTCGCGCGCTTCTCAATACATGTGCGTACTTCTAAAACATGTTGTGATCGGTAAGTAGACTCGCTGGACTTAGTTTCTCAAACCATTCGATTTCTACACCCTAATCTTTGTCTGAAGATTCTAGCAAACAAACAAGTAAATCTGGATCGATGATGAAATTGTCTCCCTTAACGTGGCCAGATTATATTCTGCAGGATGGCGGCACAATTCAACGTGTCTTTCAGGTCAGCCGTTATTTGTAGTTTTTAAGAGTATAACAATTGCGATCTCCCTATTTTCGCTTAAGCTTTCTTTGATTAAACTTTCATAGAAACAAAACAACGCAGACATTCTCCTGCATAAACAGTGACTTAATCGGCTGGAGGAAATATCTGCTTCCAAGTCGGAAGTGCTTCTACGTTTAGTATTTCGACCCGTAGCCGAAAAAAAAAATTAAAAAAACTAGGCATTTGTTCTGTATCCTTTCTGGTTCACCCAGGTAGAAGTCCTGGCATGATGCTATTATGCCTGGGCGCTTCTAGGATATACAACACGTTTAGCATTTCGACCCGTAGATGAAAAAAAAAAAGGCAGTTGTTCTATATCCTTTCTGGTTCATCCAGGTAGAAGTCCTGGTAAGGTGTTATTATGCCTGAGCGCTTTTAGGATATATAACACGTTTAGTATTTCGACCCGTAGCAGAAAAAAAAATTAGGCAGTTGTTCTATATCCTTTCTGGTTCATCCAGGTAGAAGTCCTGGCTTGATGTAATTATGCCTGAGCACTTCTAGGGTATATAACACATTTAGCATTTCGACCCGTAGCCGAAAATAAATTAGGCAGTTGTTCTATATCCTTTCTGGTTCATTCAGGTAGAAGTCCCGGCATGGTGTTATTATGCCTGTGCGCTTCTAGGATATATATAACGTTTAGTATTTAGACCCGTAGCCGAAAAAAATTAGACAGTTGTTCCTTTCTGGTTCACCCAGGTAGAAGTCTTGGCATATAATTATGCCTGTGTGCTTCTAGGATTTATAAAATAACGAAGATAGTACGCGCCCTCTGATTGGCCGAGAGGAGTGTTTGCATGAGAGTATGTAAACATGGTTGTGGCGTCAAGATGTTTTGCTTTTCACGCGCTAATCACGCAAGCACGAATTTTGAAAAAAGTTTTCTTTATTTACCCATTCCTTCGTCGGCTGAAACTTGGAAATTCTTAAAAAGAAGGCGTGTCAATTTTTCTTCGCTTAAGCTGACATTTTAAGCGAGAAAAATCCGTATTTTGGAGAGCATCTTTTTGCAAAACAAGAACCGATTACACGTGCAAGAATTCTTGGACAAGACTTTGCGACTGGTAAGAATTTCTCTTTTAATCAGTGCCATACAAAGAGTTTTGCGTTTTTTCTCGGGAAAGTTGTTTTATAAAAGCAATAGAAAACTTTTTTCCTGTGTTTGCATAGCCTGATATAAACACGAGAGGGGTTGCGAGAATTCGAGAATACGTTTAGCATTTCCACCCGTAGAAAGAAAGATATCCTATCATTTCTTCGTACTAAATCAATGTAAATGTACTACACAGCGCCGAACTAGAACAAGGGGAGCACTAACGAACTCGGGTAATATTGAACTATAAATATTTAATCGTTTTTGCTTGAGTTGGCGATGAGATCGACCGCGGACTTTAATATGTTTCTTTTTAGACGGCACTGAATTATTTTTTCCAAATCCAAAGTCGTACATTTTGTTAGATACCGCGCTTTTAATTAATTATATTCCTCGCCCTAGGATGATGACATGATTGCATGAAAATTGACACCTCTATCATATTAGATGCGAAATACGATCAGAGATTAATGGAATAGGGAATGCTGCAAGCTACTGGGTATCCAGCTGAGATAGCTGACTGTTACTCTGCTGGTTACTGAAGGGTTTTTTTGGTTGCTAAGATCGTGTGGCTCGTTATGAATGGTACAAAGTTGCACGACTCTAAATTCCTGAATTGATTAAGCGTCACGCAGTTAAAAAGCGAGAATCCCATACAGATACGGAGGATATTCACTAAAGAGGACCTCTCTACACCGCAAAATGTGCCTACGCCTGAACTTGCCCATCGTTGGGCAAAGAGCTGCCTACACAGTTACCGAATGTCAGGATTGGTCCTCTGATTGGGTCAAACTGCCCGAAAGCTCTTCAACCAATAGACGTATTAGCTAGTGAACATGGTGGTCCGTTCGCAATCAGGACGTTTGCTGGATGCCCTCTATACACGTGCGGCACAGAGCATTCAAATATCAATTGCAATAGAATTGCTGCTACGGAAGTCGGTTCAGGTAGACACCTCGACCACCACTTCATGGTAGAGAGCAGAGTTAGAGAGATTGTCAATCAACAAGCACTCAACAAGATGCTCGAACTAGACTTCAGTGAACGAACGGAAAACAAGGAGCAAGAATATTCACCAGAAGACACGAAGTGTGTTAAGATAGTCAGTCAGGGAATTTGTCACACGGAAGATCATCATTATGAAATTCCCCTTCCTTTCCGCGTTGACAGCCAATGGTTTCCTGAGAATAGATGGCAAGTCCTTCAAAGAGCACTATGGTTAAGGAAGAAGCTTATTAGGAATGAGAAGTTTTACAAGGACTCTGTTAATTTTATGAGCAGCATCATTGCCAGGAATTTGCTAGGAATGCACCGTCTCATCTTATTCCTGCAAAGACGGGTCAAGTCTAGTACATACCCCATCATGGCGTTTACTGTGCCAAGAAGCCAAACAAGATAAGGGTGGTGTTTGACTGTAACGCTAGATTTCGAGGAGTATCGCTCAACGACAAGTTGCCAAAAGGGCCTCACCTGGCAAATCGACTTGTTGGTGTCGTTACAAGATTTCGCCAAGAGGCTGTTACGTTTATAGGTGAGATTGATGCAATGTTCCATCAAGTCCGCGTACCAGTAGGCCAGCGAGACTTCCTTCGCTTCCTTTGGTGGCCTGATAGAGAGCTATCACAAGACCTTGAAAAATACCAAATGAACGTTCACTTGTTCGGCGCAGTGTCATCGCCAATTTGCCCAAATCTCGCGCTGAGAAAAGCCCCAGATGACGCAGAAAATATTGTTGGAACAGAGGCCGCAGATGTTCTGCGAAAGACTTTTACGTTGACGACTTTCTGCGCTCCGAAGAAAAGGAGGATGCCGCTATCAAAAGGATACGTGATGTTTGCCATGCTTCCGCCCATGGAGGGTTTAATCCAAGTTCGTCAGCAACAGCAACACCGTTCTTCAAAGTATCCCGGAAGAAGCGCGCGTCCCAGAAGTTAGATCGTTGGAATTAGGATCGGAAGTGACCACTATCCAATGGAGAGAGCTCTAGGTGTCCAGTGGGCACTTGAATCGGACATGTTCAGTTTCAGAATTGTCATCAAAGACCAGCCACTAACAAGAAGGGGAATACTCTCATCCATATCTTCGGTCTACGACCCCCCCCCCCCCCCCCCTGGGTATAGCCGCGCCCTTTCTGTTAGTCGACAAGAAGATTTTGCAGGATTTGTGCCGAACGAAGCTAGGTTGGGACGACGAGATTTGCGAAAAGTTCGGCGTACGTTGGGAAAGGTGGAGAGGCCAGTTGCCTGCACTTGAGCGTTACTCTATGGAACGATGTCTGAAGCCCAATAACTTTGGCGCCGTCTTGTCGAGATAAATCCACAGTTTCTCTGATGCGAGTTCGAATGGTTATGGTCAAGAATCGTACCTTAGAATGGAAAACGAGAGAGGTGACGTCCATTGAGCATTCCTTATAGGGAAGGCTCGAGTTGCTTCCGTGAAGACCATGACTATCCTTCATCTAGAGTTAACCGCAGCCACTGTATCGGTTTGTTTGCTAGAGATGATCGCCAGAGAACTAGACGAAACTGTTAATAGCAGACACTTTTGGACAGACAGCACAACCGTGTTAAAGTACATACGTAACGAAAAGAAGCGTTTTCAAGTCTTTGTCGCCAACCGCGTTCAGACGATACGAGACGCGACAAACCCCCACCAGTGGAGGTGCGTTGAGTCCAAAAGGAATCCAGCAGACGACGCTTCCCGTAGTCTTAACAGTCAGGAGTTATCTCCGCAGTGTCGTTGGATTACAGGTCCGAACTCCTTATGGCTACCTGAGAGTGAGTGGCCTGAACTTCCTGGTGACCTAGACGATACCCCTGTAGATGACCCTGAAGTTAAAAAGATCTCGGTACACAGCACGGACGTGGATGGGAACACAAACTTTCTGATGAGGTCTACCAGATTTTCGGAATGGCAACGACTGAAGAGATCTATTGCTTGGATACCCCATCTCAAGCTCAAGCAAAGTATTACTTACGATGGAACAAGGAGAAGTGGACACGCCACTAAAGTTAAGTCAAGCCTCTGACAGTAGAAGAGCTGGATAGAGCTGAGAAGACCATTGTTAAAATTATACAGAGTGGTGCGTTTCCCTAAAAAATAGGTGCCTTACAGAAGATTCAAAGAGCAGTTTTTAAGGACGATCGGCAATTCGCGAAGGCGGAGAAGTCTGAAATTAAGAAGT